TTGAATACTATAGTGAAAGTGAAAAACAGAATGGGGATGTATGGGTACTCACAATTAATGTACACAGCTGAAAGCATCAGCATATAGTCAAAAATTAGTCAAACAATTGTAAGTCAGGGACCATCTCTGTGTGTGTGTGTGTGTGTGTGTGTGTGTGTGTTGTATGTATGTGTATGTTTGCATATCTGTCTATCTATCTATCTATTTATCTATCATCTATCTATCGAGAGATAGTAGGGGAGAGATTTTAAGGAATTGGCTCACAGTCTAGGCTAGAGAGAAAGGTAGAGTTTCTATGTTGCAGTCTTGGGGAGAGTCCTGTGTTCTTTGAGAAACATTAGTGTTTGTTTTCTTAAGGCCTCCAACTGATTAAAGGAGGCCCACTGAACAAGGCAAGGATGCCCACCTTTGCCACTTCTAATTAACATAGTATTAGGAGTACTAGCCAGATAAATTAGGCAAGAGAAAGAAATAAAAGGCATTTAAATTGGAAAGGAAGAAGTAAGACTACCTCTATTTGCAGATTGCATGATCTTATATCCCAACACTGCTAGTGTTCTTAAAAAAAAAAAAAAAAGCTGTTAGTGTTAATAAATGAAATTGGCAAAGTTGAAGGATACAAAATTAACACACAAAAAGCAGTTGTATTTCTACACATTAGCAATGACTGATCTGAAAAGGAGATAAAGAAAATCATTCAATTTATAATAGTAGCTAAAAGAACAAAACATTTAGGAATATACACAAACAATTAAGTGCAAGTCTTATACACTGAAAACTATAAAAGTTGCTAAAAGAAATTAAGGAAGATCTAAATAAATGAAAATACATCCTGTGTGCATGGATTAAAAGGCTTAGTATTGTTAAAATAACAACGCTACTCAAAGGATTACACAGATTCAAAGCAATACCTATCACATTCCAGATGGAGTTTCTTGCAGAAATGGAAAAACCTATGTTAAAATTAATAGAGAATTTCAAGGGACCTAAAACAGATAAAACAATCTTGAGAAAAAAACTAAGTTGGAAGACTCATATTTCCTGAGTTCAAAACTTACTAGAAAGCTACAGTAATCAAAATAATATGATACTGAGATAAGGAGAAACATACAGAACAATGGAATAGAATTAAGAGCCTAGAAATAAATGTTCACATTGACTTATGTGAACAAATAGTTGATTTTTGACATGGGTGCGAAGGCCATTCAATGGGTAAAGAACAGTCTCTTTAACAAAAGGTCTTGGGATAGTTGGATATCCACATGAATATCTTTTGAATGAATTTGGACCCTTACATTACACCATATACAAAAATTAACTAAAAATGGATCAAAGATCTAAATTTAGAAATTATAAAATTCTTAGAAGAAAACATAGGGGCAAATCTGCAAAGTCTTAGACTTGACAATGATTTCTTTTCTTTTCTTTTCTGTCTTTTTTTTTTTTTTTTTTGACAGGGTCTTGTGCTCTGTCACCCAGTCTGGACTTCAGTGGCACAATCTTGATTCACTGCAATCTTGGCCTCCAGAGCTCCAGCAATCCTCCTACCTCCTACCTCCCGAGTAGCTGGGACTGCAGATGCGTGCCATCACACACACCTAATTTTTGTATTTTCTATAGAGATGGCTGGTCTCTACCAAAGAGGCTGGTTTTGAACTTCAAAACAGGCTGGTCTTGAACTCCTGGGTTCAAGTGATCCACCTGCCTCAGCCTCCCAAAGTGCTGGCATTACAGGTCTGAACCACTGTGCCCAGCAGACAATGGTTTCTTAAACAACATATCACAGGCCACATAAGAAAAAAACAGACAAATTGGACTTCATTACAATTAAAAATTTTGTGCATCAAAGGATACTATCAAGAAAGTGAAAAGATAATTTACAGAGTGGGAGAAAATATTTGCAAATAATTTATCTATTAAGGGTCTCATATTCAGAATGTCTGAGGAAATTTTCCAATTCAATAACAAAAAAAAGGTGCAACCCAATTTAAAAATGGGCAAAGGACCTGAACAGACATTTCTCCAAAGACATACAAATGGCCAATAAGTACATGAAAAGATGCTCAACATCCTGATCATTAGAGAATTTTCAGTAAAAACCATAAGATACTGTTTCACACCTACTAGGATGGCTTTAATTAAAAACAAAGAAATTTGGAATCCTTGTGCATTGCTGGAGTAATGTAAAATGGTGCAGCTCCTTCAGAAAACAGTTTGGTCATTCCTCAAAAAGTTAAACATAGAATTACCATATGACTCAGCAATTTCACTCCTTTAAAACAAAGGGATTCAAACAGATAGGTGTTTACCAATGTTCATAACAGTACTATTCACAGTAGTGGAAAGGTGGAAACAACCCAAGTGTCTATCAACAGATGAATGGATAAACAAAATATGGTATATCCATAAAGTAGAATTTATTCAGCCACAAAAAGGAATAAAGTACTATAATACATGCTATAGCATGAATAAACCTTGAAATATTATGCTAAGTGAAATAAGCTACAAAGTAGCTTTAATACAAGTTACCAGGGGCTGGGGGTGGGGAGATAGAGTTATTGCTTAATGAATACAGTTTCTGTTTGGGGTGCTGAACAATTTTAAAAATAAGAGAACAGTGATGGTGCCACAACACTGTAAAGTTAATTAACATCATTGAATTGTATGCTTAACATGGTTAAAATGGCAAATTTTTAAATATATATTTTATCCACATTATTTTTAGAGAAAGTGAACATAAACTAAACGTGGATTATGAGGTGAGGGTGGGTAGGTGTGGCTTATCAGAGGGGGATGAAGAGAAAAATCACTTACTTAGACTGTGTCCTTAGCCAAAACTACAAAATATTTTAAACTTCACCATGCAACACTGCTATGGATTGAATTGTTGCCCCCTTCCCCCAACTTCATATATGGAAGCTCTAACTCCCAATGTGTATTTGGAGATAGGTCCTTAAAGAGGTAATTAAGGTTAAATGAGATCATAAGGGTGAGGAACTAATCTGATAGGATTAGTGTCTTTCTTCTTCTAAGAAGAACATCAGAGAGCTTGCTCACTCCCATCTCTCCCCATACAATCCCACTATGTGAGGACAAGAGAGAAGGTGGCTGTCAGCAAGCCAGGAAGAGAGTCCAGAGCTCTCACCAAAAGCTGAGCTTGCCAGACCTTGATCAGGGAATTTTAGCCTTTAGACCGGAAAAATATATTTTTATTGTTTAAGTCCCATAGTCTATGGTATTTTGTTATGGCAGTCCCAATAGACTAATACAAACATGGAGGTATTTGCAACAGAAATTTCTCTATCAACTGTTCTCTCACAGAAAGCAACTTCCTCTGCTGATTGAAATGCCATCTCCTCCAGGAAGCCTTCCCTGATTGCTCAGCTAAAACTAATTTTTGCGTCCTTGGACTTCCAGGGCATTTTGCCTGGAAGATTCTTAGTTGGGTCATATCATGAGAGTTCATCAATGCTCATTCCTGGGCTCTCATCTCAGTCTATATGTTCTCTCCAAGTCAGTGACTCAGGTCTTTCTATCTCCATCTCAGACTTTTTCTCTGAACTCCAGAAAAACAGAGCTGATTCAGCACCTCCATCTAGGTAGCTGAAAGCACATGAAGCTTAATTTAGATGCTCCTTGACTTACGATGGGGCTAGGTCCCAATAAGCTCACTGTAAATGGAAGGTGGGCTTAATACCTGGGTAAGCCCACCATAAAGTGGAAAAATGGCAAGTGGAACCATTGTAAGTTCAGATGTGCCTCTACTTATGATGGGGTTACCTCCCAATAAACCCATCCCAAAGTCAGAAAGTCTAAGTCGGGTACCATATGTATGTCCAACCTAGACTGTTACTTTGGAACTGTTCCACATATTCCTCCAAATTGTGGCCCATCTTTGGTGTCTTCAATTTTAGCGGACAGCATGTCCATCCACCAGCACTGTTTCAAGCCAGACACTGACTGGATCTGGATGACATTCTTTTTACCCTTGCCTCCCACATCCATCTTCTCAGGAAGTACCATTGCTTTCACTTTGATCCATGGTCTCATTTATGGTCCAAGCTACTTTCATCTCAGCCCTGGACCACCAAGCAGACTTGTCTTCCTTGTTTCCACTCTTGGCCCCTCTAATCTGCTCTCCTCAGAGCAGCAACAACTTCATCCCCCACCTAAAACTTGTCTGTGGTCCTGCAGGATCTGGTCCCTGAATACCTCTCCAGCCACATCCCCCATCAGTTCAACAAATATTAATACATCATTTGTTGAATGCCTCCAGCCATTGCCCATATTATTAGTCCCTCTGCCTGTAAAGCTTTTCTCTCTTGACTTGGTTAGTTTCTACTCATTCTTTAAAGCCCTGCTCAAATGTGGGCTCACTGAAGGCTCCACTTAGATGAGCCTTCCCAGACCTCTCCCTCTACCCTCCCATTATGGCTAGACCCAGGTCCCACTATGGTTAGTTCCCAAGGCACCACCTAGCCTCAGTCAGAGCTTAGGCACAACTGTCATTTAACAGTTAACAAGATTACTTCAAGGACATTCATCACTGTTCAATAGTGTGTCTTCAGTCCCTGGGAGTCCAACACACACTGGGTGCTTAGTAAAAGTCTGTTGCATGAATGATTAAGAAATGGAATCCCAGCACCGCTACTTCCCAGCCATTTGACTTGTGAAAGTCACTTAATATTCCTGATCCTCAGTTTCCCAATTCTTAAAGCAGGGTTATGTAATTTTTTCTACGGAGGTAATTTGTGTAATGTGCTGGGCACTGGGTGGACAGCTCACTCTTGAATAGAACAGCTTTCCCACTCTTTTATCCAAGCCCTGGAAGCCATAGGATGGATTTTACGTCATCCGGCGGACTGGGAGCTGTGGGAAGACTTCCTGGGGAGGTGGCGCTTGGTAGCAGTCTGAGGAAGGAAGGCCTAGGCACAGGGCACCACCTACACGAACGCCCGGAGGCTGGGACGCGCAGGCGCGCACGCGGCGGGGAGGCCCACCTTGCAGGCCGTGTAGGCGGAAGGTGTGGTGTTCCACTGACAGGCCTGCCGCGCTGTAGGGCCCGTAGCGCAGGATGACCACCGAGTTCTTGGGCATCGCCAGTCCTCCGCCACCGCAGCCTGGGCTACAGAGCAACACACGTTGCTACGCAACCTCTCCTTCGGCCCCGGCGCGTGGGCGTGGCTACGCGCGGGACGTGGGCGTGGCCACGCGCGGGGCGGGGCGGGGCCGGGGTGGTGGTGCTCCGGGATCCTCCCCGCCCCAAGTTGCTCACATGAGCCTCAGCGCCAGGTCCGCACACACGTACGTTTGACCTGGTGTGGCAAGTGTTAGTGATGAATAGCAGCATCCAGGCACTGTAAGTTCGTGTCAGCCGGCGTGCTAAGCACTTTCCCTGCGTTATCTGTCTGAATTAGTTTACCATCCCTAGGAAGTATTTTGTGTTTTCTGTTAATAAAACAGAGGCTCAGGGAGGCCAAGTAACGATCCCAACAGTGACAGGGGTGTAATATGGATTGGAAACCCTTGCATTTCTTCTATTTTGTTGTCTGTTTTTGATTGATTGAGGGTATTTGTTCTTCATTCCTCTTCCCCCACTCCCTTCCACCTGTCTGTTCTGTCACCAGTTAGGCTACTTGGTGGAGACAAAACTGTGAGTTCGTCTAATTCCCTTCTATTTGCTCAGTTCTGCTCACTGGAATTCGGTCATAAAAGACATCCACCACTCATAGGCGTGGTCCCTAAAAAGTCTCCACACCTGCTGTCGCCCTTTCCTTATCGGTAGCCAGATATGGGATCCCAGGGAGGACCTGAGGCTCCCGGGGAGACAGACCCAAAACGTGGGAGAAACCTGGACCCCTGAGTAGAGCCCCACCGATCTGCATTAGTTGGCTACCGAGGCAAGAAGGAAACATTTATTCCATAACTACTGAGATTTGAGGGGTTGTTTATTACAGCAATTAGCCCAACCTAACAATCGCAATACCCTTGCGATTACATCGTGTCTTACTTTCCTAAAATTCAATTGTAATTGATATTTTGACCCTCCTTTTGAACAGTAAAGTGTTTTAAAAACCCTTTGCCACTAATTCTTCTCCCAACATATGCTACTGTGTATTTTAATTCTCTCCACGTGTACAGTATGTTCTATGATATATATTTCTTTGATGAGAATTAGTTTATACATCATTGGTTAATAGAGGAATGATATCAGTTACATCATTATGGGTCGTAAATAATTTCCCCCAGCACTTGAGAGTTTTGCATCACTGGACAAGGACCACTGAATTCACCAACACAGCTGAACCCGGTAGACTGTGGAGGAAGGCAGGACTGCACATGATGCCATTATTCGTCCTCTTGGCTCTATATGATTATCTGTCCTGTCTTAGAAGGACTTTCTGGTTTTCCATAAACTTCGTACACTTCTTAAAAGGCAAAAATTCGCTATTCACTGTAGTATTTTTATTAATTAGAAATTTAACGGTTTTAACTTTGCTAAAAGTTTTGTATGAATGGTTGTTTTCTGTTACTGCTCTGTTTTCAAGACTCCTTTATCTCTTGCTTTCTGTAGTTTTACTGTAAGATGCTTATATATAGTTTTTTTTCTTTTAAATTTACTTCTCTTGAGATTTGTTGAGATTCTTGAAACTCTGCATGAAAGTCCTTCATCAGTTTTTGAAATAGTTTGAGCCATCATCTCTTCACATATTTCTTCCGTTCCATTTTCTCATTCTCAGGGACTCCAGCTAAATATATGTTAGACCTTCTCATTGTATTGTGTGTGTCTCTTTTCTGTACATTTCTTTTTTCTTCCATGCCTCTTTTGGGGTTGTATGTATACATGTATGTATGCGTGCATTCATTCATTTTTACCTTTAATCGAGTCTATGAATTTTTTTTCAGCCGTCTTGTAACTGAGAACAAAAGCCAGCAATCTGGTTCTTTATTCCAGTTATTTATTTTTCAATTCTAGAATTTTAGTTTGTTCTTTTTTCCAATCTGCTGTGCCACTTTCAGCTTCTTCCAAGCTTTTTAGGTTTGGCTTTATCTCCTTCATTGTAGTAAAGATAGGTATTTTACAGTCTGTGTTTGAGAATTCTACTGTTGAGAGAATCTATGTGTTTGTTCCTGTGGTTCATTATTTCTGCTTGTTTCTGCACATTTTGTCTTGTCTCCTAGAGTTCCTGGTTTATTTTAATTGTGTGCTGGACATTGTATTCAAAAATTATTTGTAGAAACAATTCGAGGCCTCAGATGATATCTTCCCCTATAGAAGATTTTAAAATTTAATTCTTGCTAACTCCTACTTGCACCAACCCAGGATCATCTTTATACAATTTCAGAGTTTGAGATTTTTCTGAAACACCCAGATGAACACTCAAAACTGGGCTACAGTCCATTTGGATATTGGTTGATTTATATTTAATCCTAATTCCGATGGTATCCTAGTTTAAGGAGGGTGGTGATGATATTTCACTGTGGTTTTGATTTGTATTTCCCTGATGATTAGTGATGATGATTAGTGATGTTGAGCATTTATTTTTTGTTTGTATACTGGTTGGCTATTTTTGTGTCTTCTTTTGAGAAAAGTCTATTCATGTCCCTTGCCAACTTTTTAATGGGGTTATTATTATTATTTTTTAACTGTTGAGTTGTTTGAGTTTCTTATATATTCTGGATAATAATCCCTTTCCAGATGAATAGTTTGCAGACATTTTCTCCAATACAACAGGTTCTGTCTTCACTCTGATGATTGCTTCCCTTATAGTGTAGAAGCTTTTTAGTTTAATATAGCCTCATTCCTATATTTTTGTTTTCATTCTCTGTGCTTTTGAGGTCTTAGCCATATCTTTGCCTAGAGCAATGTCCTAAAGTGTTTCCTCTATGTTTTTTTCTAGTAGATTTTATAGTTTTGAGTCTTACATTTAAGCCTTTAATCTTATCTTGAGTTGTTTTTTGTGTGTAGTGAAACATAGGTGTTCAGTTGCATTCTTCTGCATAAGGATATCCAGTTTTTCTAACACCCTTGATTGAAGAGGGTGTCTTTTCCCTAGTGTATGTTCTTCATGCCTTTGTTGAAAATCAGTTTAGCTGTAAATATGTGGATTTATTTCTGGGTTATCTATTCTGTTCCATTGGCTTATGAGTCTGTTTTTATATCAGTACCATGCTGTTTTTGTTACTATAGCTCTGTAATATATTTTGAAGTCAGGTAATGTAATGCCTCCTGTTTTGTTCTTTTTGCTCAAATTGCTTTGGCTATTTGGGCTCTCTTTTGGTACCATAGGAATTTTAGGATTGTTTTGTCTAATTCTGGGAAAGATGCTGTTGATATTTTGATAGGAATAGGATTGAATCTGCAGATTTCTTTGGGTATTATGGCCATTTTAATAATGTTAATTATTCTGATTCATGAACATAGGATGTTTTGCCATTTGTTTGTATATCTTCAGTTTCTTCATACATATTTTGTAGTTTTCCTTGTACAGGTCTTTCACTTCCTTGATTAAATTTATTCCTAGGTAGTTTGGTTTTTTGTAACGATTTCAAGTGAAATTGCCTTTTCCATTTCTTTCTCAGATAGTTCATTAATGGTATATAGAAATGCTGTTGATTTCTGTAGGTTGTTTTTGTATCCTGCTGCTTTACTGAATTCATTTATCAGATCTGAGAGGTTTTCTGGTGGAGTCTTTAGGTTTTTCTAGGTGTAAAATCATGTCATCTGCAAAGAGCAGCAATTTGACTTCTTTTCCAACGTGGAAGCCTTTTATTTTTCTCTCATCTGATTGTTTTGGCTATGATTTCCAGTATTATGATGAAAGGTGAAAGTGGGCAGCCTTGTCTTGTTCCAGTTCTAAGAAGAAAGGCTTTCAACTCTTCCTCATTCTGTATGATGTTAGCTGTGGATTTGTCATATATGGGCTTTATTATTTTGAGCTATGTTCCTTCTATGCCTAGTTTGTTGAGGGATGTTGAAATTTGTCGAATGGTTTATTTGCGTCTATTGAGATAATCATGTGGTTTTTGTCCTTTATTTTGTTGATGTGATGTATCACGTTTATTGATTCGCATATTTGAATCATCTCTTGCAACCCTGGGATAAATCGCACTTGATCATGCTATACTATCATTTTAATGTGTTGTTGGATTTGATTTGCTAATATTTTGTTGAGGATATTTTTTTGCATTTATTTTCATCAGGGATATTGGCCAGTAGTTTTCTTCTTTATGTATGTATCCTTGTCTGGTTTTGGTATCAGGGTAATGTTGTCCTTGTAGCATGAGTTAGGAGGAATTTCTGCCTCTTCAATTTTTTTGGAATAGTTGGAATAATTGGAATAATTGGTGTTGGTTCTTCTTTGTAAGTTTGGTAGAATTTGACAGTGAAACCTTCCAGTCCTGGGCTTTTCATTGTTGAGAGACTCGATTACTGATTCAATCTCATTACAAGTTATTGCTTTGTTCAACTTTTCTATTTCTTCCTGATTCAGTCTTTGTTGTGTGTGACCATTAATTTATTCATTTCCTTTAGTTTTTCCAGTTTGTTGGCGTGTAGTTGTTCATAATAGTTTCTGATGATCTTTTGTATTTCTGTGGTATCAGTTATAATGTGTCTTTTTTTGTTTCTAATTTTATTTGGGCCTTCTCTCTTCTTTTCTTGGTTAGTGTAGCTAGTAGTTTATCAATTTTATCTTTTTGAAAAACCAACTTTTCATATTGTTGACCTTTTGTATTGTTTTTAAGTCTCTATTTCATTTATTTCTGCTTTGATCTTTATTATTTCTTTCCTTTTATTAATTTTTGGGTTTGGTTTGTTCTTGCTTTCCTAGTTCATTGAGGTGTACTATTAGATTGTTTATTTGAAATCCTTCTAATTTTTTAAAATAATGTAGACACTTGTTACTATAATACTATGAACTTACCTCTTAGTACTACTTTTGCTGTATTAGAATACAGCATATTTTGGTATGCTTTATCTTGTTTTCACTTGTTTCAAAAATTTTTTGAATTCCTCCTTAATTTCTTCATTGACCTAATGGTTATTCGGGAGTGGGTTAATTTCCATGTATTTATATAGTTTTCAAAGTTTCTCTTCTTGTTGATATCTAGTTTTATGCTATTGTGGTCTGAGAAGATACTTAATATAATTTCAATT